ATTTTATTTTGCCGTCTCTGTGGTCTAATCGTGTACGTCGTCTGGTTTTAAAGCCTCTCTCACTTTGGTCTTTTCGTTTTCTCTCTTCCATTTTCTCCAACTAGAAAAAAAAAGTGATAGAGAGAGCAAATCTGTGTGATGGAAGTTGCTCTTGAGTTTGGGATTATTATCCTTTTCAATATCATTTGGTAAGCATTTTTATTTTATTTTATTAAAATTTTAACTCTCTTATCTTCTTAATAAGTGTATGCTAATAGTGTTTTGGGGTCTTCGCATTAATTTCCTCTGTTTGGTTTCCAGAAAAAAGGAAAATACGATTACTTTTGTATAGTGTGATGATAACAAATCATTCCAAGTTTTGCTTAAAACCTTGTCAAAGTTTTACATTTTCATTTCTTGAAGCTTCTTGAAATGGAAAAATTTTAATTTGTAATTCGAAAATTCGACAGATCTTGTAGATATGTTGTGATCTTTTAGAGCTTTGAATTGGAGAAACTTATGAAAAGGGTTGATTTTGAAATTGGTACAGATGAAGAAGGATGGTGAGATGGGAAGAAGTGATGTCAGGAGGAGCAGGAGATGAAAGAGAGACAACGTTGGAGTGGTGAAGAAGATGCATTGTTACGTGCGTACGTTAGACAGTTCGGTCCGAGAGAATGGCATCTTGTATCTGAGCGTATGAACAAACCTTTGAACCGTGACGCCAAGTCTTGTTTAGAGAGATGGAAGAATTATCTTAAACCAGGGATCAAGAAAGGTTCTTTGACTGAGGAAGAGCAGAGGCTTGTGATCCGTCTTCAGGAGAAACACGGCAACAAGTGGAAGAAGATTGCTGCTGAGGTTCCCGGGAGGACGGCCAAGCGGTTAGGGAAGTGGTGGGAAGTGTTTAAGGAGAAGCAACAGAGAGAAGAGAAAGAGAGTAACAAGAGAGTTGAGCCTATTGACGAGAGTAAGTACGATCGGATTCTCGAGAGTTTTGCTGAGAAGCTTGTCAAAGAGCGGTCTAACGTTGTTCCTGCTGCTGCTGCCACTGCTGCCACGGTTGTGATGGCTAATTCGAATGGAGGGTTTTTACATTCTGAACAGCAAGTTCAGCCTCCTAACCCGGTGATCCCGCCTTGGTTAGCTACTTCTAATAATGGGAACAATGTTGTTGCCAGGCCTCCCTCGGTGACTTTAACATTATCGCCCTCCACCGTGGCTGCAGCTGCGCCTCAACCGCCAATCCCGTGGCTGCAGCAGCAACAGCCCGAGAGAGCAGAGAGCGGTCCTGGGGGACTTGTGTTAGGGAGTATGATGCCGTCTTGTAGTGGGAGTAGCGAGAGTGTGTTCTTGTCAGAACTAGTGGAATGTTGTAGAGAGTTGGAGGAAGGGCATAGAGCTTGGGCGGACCATAAGAAAGAGGCTGCATGGAGGTTAAGGAGGCTGGAGCTGCAGCTAGAGTCAGAGAAGACGTGTAGACAAAGGGAGAAGATGGAGGAGATTGAGGCAAAGATGAAAGCTCTTAGGGAAGAGCAAAAGAGCGCAATGGAGAAGATCGAAGGAGAGTACAGAGAACAGCTCGTTGGTTTGAGGCGAGACGCTGAGGCCAAAGACCAGAAACTGGCTGATCAATGGACCTCTAAGCATATCAGACTCACCAAGTTTCTTGAACAACACATGGGTTGCAGATTAGACCGCCCCTGAACCGTCTCCTAAGCTCTTTGTTGTCATGTAATGTAATGTAATTTTTTTTGTTTTGGTGTTTCTTTTCCGGTCTTTGGTGACTTTGGTGTCTCCAATGTTTACTCAGACTTTTAGGTTCCTTACCTCAGCTTTGTATTTGTTGCTTCTCTTTCTTTCTTCTACCTTTGTGTTCCATTTACCACTTCAGTTTATCCATGGCTTTGTTTTCTCAACCTTGATGTTGAATTTAGTCCAGCTGCAACACTTTCGTTTATAAATAAAATCGATTTATAATTTTACATGTGTAAATTTAAGTAGAAGATAGAAAACAAATTGTTACATAATAATTGAAGAATTGAAGAGAAAGAGGTGTGTACTTATTCACTCAAAAACAAAGTTGCATTAGATTTTAACCATACTACAAACAGATTACCATAAATCCTTGAAAATGTATTTGGCATGAATTCCAAAACATAAAAGAACAAAAACAAAGAGCAGAATAACGGAAGATTAAAAACCCGGCTTGAGAAATGGTCGGAAAAACCTCGGTGGTGCTTCTCTGAAAAATGATCAACTCTGAACTCAGAAGCATTTCCTGTGAACAATCGACGGGCCTGACTCGTCATATTCTGCCTTTGCGATCCACATCTGCACAAGGTAACACATAGTTTCAAGAAAAACCAGTTTAGTTAAGCTGAGACTGATGAGGATTTAGTTTAGGTTTGTTTAGGGTAAGCAAGTGATGGAACTGTTGTACCTGCTGGAAGGTACTGAGGGAGGCCAAGATAGACCCTCCAATCCAGACGGAGTATTTCCTCTCTGGAGGGGCAACGACTTTGATCTTCATGCTGCTTGGAGCCAAAGCAGTGATTTCTTTGCTCATTCTGTCGGCGATTCCTGGGAACATTGTGGTTCCACCACTGAGCACAATGTTACCGTACAAGTCCTTTCTGATGTCGACATCACACTTCATTATGGAGTTATAGGTGGTTTCATGGATACCAGCATTCTCCATACCAATCATAGATGGCTGGTAAAGACAACCTCTGGGCAACGGAATCGCTCTGATCCAATGGTGATCACTTGCCCATCAGGTAGCTCGTAGTTCTTCTCAACAGCTGAGCTGGTTTTGGCTGTCTCGAGCTCCTGCTCGTAGTCAAGAGCAATGTAGCAAAGCTTCTCCTTTATGTCTCTGACAATTTCACGCTCTGCTGTGGTGGTGAAAGAGTAACCACGCTCAGTTAGGATCTTCATCAGCGCATCCGTGAGGTCACGACCAGCAAGATCAAGACGTAGGATCGCATGTGGAAGGGCATAACCCTCATAGATAGGAACAGTGTGGCTCACACCATCTCCAGAGTCAAGCACAATACCTGCACATTCATAATCCAAACGCTTTACAATTTGTTCTGCAAAATGTACAAAGATTGAAGCTTTATACCATAAGGACACAAAAGGGCTTCACTCACCAGTTGTACGACCACTGGCATAAAGAGAAAGAACAGCCTGAATAGCCACATACATAGCCGGGGCATTAAAAGTCTCAAACATGATTTGAGTCATCTTCTCACGATTAGCTTTCGGGTTAAGCGGTGCCTCGGTAAGTAAAATCGGATGCTCCTCAGGAGCAACACGTAGTTCATTATAGAAAGTGTGATGCCAAATCTTCTCCATATCATCCCAATTGTTAACAATCCCATGCTCAATAGGGTACTTGAGAGTTAAAATACCTCGTTTGGATTGAGCTTCATCGCCAACATAAGCATCCTTTTGCCCCATCCCAACCATCACACCGGTGTGACGAGGACGACCCACAATACTAGGAAACACAGCTCGAGGTGCATCATCCCCAGCAAAACCAGCCTATTCCAATACAAAACAACATAATAATCTTAAACAAAAACCAAATGCTACATTGTTCATAGGATCATCAATCAACAAAGAGAAAAAAAGATTCAAACTTTTGTCAAAAAAACAGAGAGAGAAAGAATCAATCACAGACCTTAACCATTCCAGTTCCATTGTCGCAAACAAGAGGTTGAATGTCTTCACCATCAGCCATTTTCTTCTACCAAGAGGTTAATTATTTAAAGATCAAATTTTTATCAACAATAATAATATATTTCACCAATTTAGATACAAAGAACAATCATTTTCCAAAGACAAGCCAATAAAAGACAAAAAAATGAAACCTTAAAATGGAAGAAGAAGAAGGATATTATAGATCCAGAATCACGTAAATATTATAAAATTCAACCAGAAAAAAAAAAAAAAGAAGGGATTTTTAATATAGAGAGACATTTGAAAAACATGAGTCGCGGTTGAGAATAATTGCTCGATTAAACAAATAACAAATGGTGTAATGAAACATACGATGAGTGAAATCGATAAACAACAGATCGAATAGATTAGCTTAAGACACCCAGATCCAAATACTCAGAAATCGGAGCGACAATATGTATTGTGTTCGAAAATGACAAGAAAGGGTCTAAAAAATTACCTGAGATCGAGAGAGAAAAACTAGAGATAAAAAATATGGTAGCGGCTAGAAAATGATTTAGGCAAAAGGGAAGAAGAAGTAGAGAGGAGGAGGAAGAAACGATGGAAGGAAGAAAATGAATGGAGGAGTAAATAAGAAAACGGGTCCAAAGGCTTCCACTTCGGCTCACCTTGTTTTCCGCTTCTAAGAAAATTCTTCCATTTCAAATGAGTCCCCCAACAAAATATAAAGATCGAAATGACGTTTTTACCCTTATGATTTTTTTAATTTTTTTTACAGAGTTTTTTCGTTTTGACTTTAGATTTTAGTGATATTTTTGTTTCCACCGATTTTGTATTTTTTTTTTTGTATATCTCTTGAAATTTTCATTGAAAATACTGGTTATTATAAAAAAAAAAAAAAAAAAAAAGGGAGTCGCAAACTTGCAAGTGCAACTATAAGCATATGATAAAGCATGCAACTCGGAAACCAAAAAAACAAAAAAAACATGCATATCTCTAGGTGAAAATTTCGCATGGGCTTGCTCACTCAAAATTGGCAATACTTCCGCATGGGCCGAGCCTTTATGTTCAATCCATTGGACACAAATATATGATTACCCATTTAGATAATTGATTAACCATTGGCAATACATTTTCGTGTTTGGTAGAGTACTAAAACAAGACTAACTCTTTAGATAATTCTCGCTCAAGTAAACAATAGACGAAGACGAGCCCGGATAGACAATTGTTATTTGGTTTAAGAGAACGAGCCGTGTAAACACAAAGAAAATAAATTTAAAGAGAGCTTTCATAGTGAAGAACTCTTTACTCTTCCATCAATACTTGAAATAGGCCTGGGCATTCGGATTTCAAATCGGATTCGGATCGGATATATTCGGATTCGGATAATTCGGGAATGAGAGTTTATTATCCGTTCGGATTTTATGATTTTTCGGTTCGGTTTCGGTTCGGATATATTCGGATTCGGATAATTTGGGTAGGAGAATTTATTATCCGTTCGGATTTTATGAGTCATCGGTTCGCTTTCGGTTCGGATAGGTGTCGGATTCGGATCGGTTTTTGGGAAAAAAAAACTTAAAAATAGTTCAATGTTAATAAAAATTGGTTCAATCTTACTAAAATTTGGTTAAATTTTGCAAAAATATGTATAATTTTAACAAATATAACTAAAATTTTTCCGAAATCTAGGATATTTAGGATATTTTTGTTATCTGCTATAAAATTACAACTAAATATAACTAATATTTTTGAATATATAATTTTTATTTCCGGTTTTTGGATATCCTTTCGGTTTTCGGTTCGGATCGGGTTCGGTTCGGGTAATTCGGATAGGAGAATTCATTATCCGTTCGGATTTTGTGACTATTCGGTTTGGATTTGGTTCCGGATTTTTCGGATCGGTTTTCGGATTTCGGGTTTTATGCCCAGGCCTATTGAAAGGTGGTTCACATTCACAAGCGTGTACCTATTGTCATTTTCACCATCTACAAGCAAATATATGTGTATTGAAAGGTCATCCACACTTTTTAATGCTCTAGTATCCACGTCATATATAGCTTATGTTTTCTTAAATTGCTACTACCATTCACACGCGATTATATATTCGTAAATGGAATAAATATCATGAAATCTAAAAAAAAAAAAAATCATGAAATCTACCAAAGTCTATTTGAATAAAAAAGTTATACAAAAAAAGACACAAATAGGGAAGAAAACTTTATATTCAACTAAACTTTTTTCTCAAATTTCACTCTTCGATAATCCTATTTGGTCTTCTATTTCGATATTCCATATTTCAACATACTGTTTTCTTTTTCGATCTTTTAGAAAAACATTGAAATTTATTATTCCAATATGAATTTCTTACATAAAATGTTTTAAACTATATAGAAAAATTCATTTATATAGGTTGAGGAAAAATATTTAGCTAAACTGATCGTAGAAGAAGTCATAAGAGTGGGTCTCCATATACAATAAATACAGAAAAGTTATTAGCAATAAGATAATAAATATGAGTTAGATACGTAATTAAAGTCTAACGGCAACAAATATATTTTTTCCCTCCTGAAAAAAAAAAAGCGCACATGGAGATTGGAAACGTAAAGGCAGATGTCAATTTGGTGCTTAACTTGCGAGAAGCAGAAAGGCATCGGCGATATTTTGATTGCTTTATCAACGAGAAATTATTATATCGTAAGTTCGTAACGGTATTATGCCGAACGATGTCTCCTTCTGAATGAATCAGAGGGTTTGGTTACGTTATGTATGCCTTTAGACTCTCCTTACCACAACCAACAATACACAACAAACTCGCTCTAATCTCCGACTATAAATAAACCAGAAAAAAGAATTTAATAAAAAAACAAAAGCTGACAATTTTCTTGATTAATGTTCTTTACCACGTTGGATCTATCTACATCGATCAATCATTATTTCTTCTCCTTCTTATTCTTCTCATTCTCTTCTCTCTCTCTAGAAACAAGAGTTTTTTTTTTTTGGTGCCATTTCTTGAGTTTTATATAGATTTATAGGTATGTCGGAGACGAGCTTGAAAGAGGATGAGGTAACGTTAGGTGGGGTTAAAGAGACGATAGAAGAAGAATGTTCAGACAATAAACATGTGTTGGAAATTTGTCGGAAAAGGAAGAGATCAGATGAAGAAGAAGAAGAAGTTGTGGAGGAAGAGAATGATGGATTCAAGACACCGACTCGTCCCGAGAATAGAATCCCTAAGGTCACAGAATGTCCACCGGCGCCGAGGAAAGGGGAATATTTATATTTGTCGGGGATGCTTAGAGGTAAAACAATGTACTGCCGGAGACGGTTGAGTTTCTCGCCGGAAGATGACGTGAGCTCGTTTATAACGGATTTGCGGTGGAGGACGACGACAATGACGATCAAGAAATAAGATTAAGGAGAGTGAAATATATTAAACTTTTAGTTCTTATGATTTTTATTTTTCTGGCCGTTTTTAGGTCACGTTTGGAAAATATCCGAACGTTTTTTTTTTCGAAAATACACAAAAGAAACATACTTGATTAGTTTGTGATTTTGTTTTTAAGAGTTTCAGATCATATAGAGATTTTCTTTTCGAGATGATCATTATTTGTTCATTGATAGGTTTTTCTTCTTTTGTTATGGATGATTTTTTTTTCCAGTATTGTTTTGTATTTCTGTAAATGCAACCAGCTAATTATTGCTTATGTTGCTGCTGGATGGTTAGAGATTAAACTGACTCTAAAGAAGTAGACGAAACTTAAACATGTTTCTTCATGATCTGTTTTTATAAAACTCGAATTACTCGTATGATCGTACATGAGGGTTACCAAACATTAGTAAAG